TCCTGCTGATAAACTGACAAAACACTGAGGAAATAAAACAGCTTGGAATTCTGCTCTAATTATATAAATTCTCAATACCGTTCTCTGAAATCCCTGCCCCTCCAGCAGGCGATCCTCGATCTTGATGCACAACAGATAAACAGAATTTTCTGTCTGGTAATGCTGCCCCCTCATTCTGCTCTTTGCTGCTTCTAGAAGGAAGCTGGAGCTTCATGACCTCTGACCTGGAGAAGAAAGGCAAAATAAAGTGGACTCAGAAAACCAGAATAGGCTGGAGGAATGTGCACAGAGGAGGCTTCTTCACCCTGTTAACAATTCTGCTCAAATAAAACGGTTCAGGCATGCTTCTGAAGAACAGCAGCATCTGCCTTCAATGCCTATTAAATGGAACCCTCAAGGGCAGTTTTAAATGGTCTTGGTAAGGATTAGAGGAAGGTGGATTTGAACTATCCTTAGATTTTGGTATTAATAATTAAACAAGCATTACTTATAGCTTTTAGTTAAAATTCAAGACATCTGTAAAATTTATGTGGAAACAGTCTCCTCTGGCCATAAAATATTCCTTTTCCACTGACAATGATTTACTGTGGCTCATTTTCCAATATGAACCCCTAATTAGGGTGACAAATCTTGTATTCAGACACTTAAACTGATGCTTAGGCTAATAAAAGTCAGTTACATAGTTCTGCACTACAAAATTCAACCTATTATGCAGGATTGGTGTAAGGCCCTACAGGGAACTTAATCCCCTTAAAGCCAACATTAAAAGCTAAGTGGGGAGAACATTAAAAGTATCTATAGGTCTCAGCATAGGCCCATTGCACTGGGATAGAAAAGGATTAAATGGGAATTCTAAAATGTGGGCAGTAATACCAGCATTCTTGTGCACGTCACAGGTTCAGATCATTTATAAATATTGACTTATTGGTCCTCCTAATATCTCTAAAAGGTATTTACACTCATTTTGCAGATGGGGAAAATGAAGCAGAAATATTAATTGCACTGTCTGAGTACACACAGCAAATCTATTAGAGCCAGGATTAGAATTTAGTACACCTGATTCCTAATTTTGTGCTCAGCATTTATCTAGAACACAAGAAGATACCTTACGGTTTGGTTTTTCAGGTAATAAAGATCAGGTGATGTTATCTGAGATGTCAAAAGAACAGAACACTTGAACAGAATGTTAAATTTAAAGACCAATGAGTCATAGTTTAGAAAGGACCTAATAAAGTAGCTGAACTGCGAACAATCTACTTTGGGATGAAATATTTTCCTGGAGGATGAAAGGAGAGCAGACATTGCTTTATCTATCTTTAAAGGCACTAAGGTGGACTTTACATAAAGTAAAATGTTTAAAAGTGAGCTTCAAAAAGTACCTGCAAAACACCTAGATGATTAAACATAACAGTGTCTGACCAACATAGCTTTCACAAAAGAAAATCATGCTCCACTAATCTGTTTAATACTTTGAACAGGTCAAAAAGCAAAAGATAAAGGAAAACTAATTGTTATAATTTGCTTAGATATTCAGAACCCTTTGATGAAGTGAAGTGCTGTCACAAAGTAGACATTAGCTAAAGATTAAGGCACTTCAGACAAAACTAGACAAGTATGCAGATTCAGAAGAAATTAAATTCCCTGTTGACAAATTTAAGATAAATACACCCTAGAGGGAATATCTGAAGTGTCCATATATACTACTCAGTTCCAAATTTCCACCAAGAAAAGAGACTAGTTGGGGGAGAATAGCAAAATGAAAACTACTCAATATGCAGAAGTGATCTCAAAAAGCAAACAAAATGTGATGATATGTAAAAAACAGCGTCCAAATACTGAAAGTATTGTACAGTCTAGTATAAGCTGTGGTACACTTCCCATTCGAACAGTATGCTTAGTCTCCCCTCCCCCTCACATATCAAATATGATCGACCAGTATTAGCAACGGTCTGAGCAGAAGCAACTAACAAGAGTGGGTATATAGATTAGTCAGTAAACGAGGGCCATAAAAGAGGGATGCAGAATAATGAATAGCATAGGAAAGAAATTTGAGCACACCTCCTATCAATTTTTAAAAAACGAAATGAAAAGTACATTAAACAAAAACCAACAAAATGTAACATTGCTATTGTTTTAAGGTTTTTTTCCTAACATGGTGTACAATTAACACCATGGGGGGGACCAGCGGGGAATGGGAGAGACCCTGTTCACCAGTGCACCTCCTGGAGTAACAAGGAATAACGGCCATAAGTTGTTTGACAGTAGGTTCAGGCTGGACATTAGAAGACACTATTTCACAGTCATGGCAGCTAGGATGGGAACCAACTTCCAAGGGAAGTGGTGCTGGCTCCTACCTTGGGAGTCTTTATGAGGAGGCTTGACAATTACCTAGCTGAGGTCATATGAGCCCAGTATTCTCTCCTGCCCAGGGCAGGGTGTCAAACTTGATGATATACTTAGGTCCCTTCCAACCCTACATCTATGAATCTATGAATCTAACCTGTGGAACTCATTGCCATGAGCCATTATTGAGACCAAGAGCAAAGTACAATTTAAAAAATGAATGAGATTTATTGCATAATGAAACACCCACAACTATACTAGCTAGTTTAAAGATGATCATGTAAAAACTAGTGTAAGTAGGTTCTGTGTTCCAGGAATTACATTTCCTCTCACCCAAACTGTAATTGGGTTTGGACAGCTTTTTTGCTGTAGTTTTTAAAAATCTTACAATATCACTATTTTTCACCAGGATCCTTTCTAACTTAAACCATTAAGAAATGATACACAGTTCACCAATTTTTTTTTTTTAACTATGTATGAAAGCAAATCAAATCCCAGTTTTACTTAATAAATATCTCTCTCTCCAAATTACTTTGGAGATTAGATTTGTTCCATAGAGATTTGGAATATTCCTTATACTTAAAATACTCTTACTTATTTTCTTTTCATCGATATTTAAAACACTAAGAAAATTGATCTTACTGAAAAAAAAAGTTATGTACATGATCTTTACATGATCTTTTTGTACAAGCCTCCCAAACACTTGCCATACTTAAATGCAACCACTCCAAATGTTAGAACCCCCCCCAAAACATAGTAATACAAAGGCTGGTGCCAAGTAAAAAAAGATAAGTATCATGGAGAGCTTTTGTTTAATCTAACACAGCTGCTGTCTGTTCCTAAGGAACTATACCAGTGCTGGCTCCATGGGCGTGCACCAGACAACCAGATTAAATAATGGCCTTCCTATTCAATTTTGGAGAGATTTGAAAGGGAAATTAGTTAAACCATGCTTGGGGATAACTTTCATACTTCCAAGAGTATCATTGGCTGTATAAAAAGTGATATTTTATTTAAGATTTATAGTATTCCTTAGCCTAGCAACAATTAGCTTCCCTCTGAAAGTGAAGGGGCATGGTATCTTCAGCCTGGGGTCTGCCTGCTCATTTAGTTGAGACTTTTTTTAAACAAATCACAGTAAAAGTTGCCTTACTTAAAAGAAATACTATCAGGTAAGATAGGATATGTGAAATACCAGTTTGTGATACAGTTTTCATAGAAAGCATCAACAAGTTTCATATTCATTTTCAAATGGTTTTCATAACATTTAAATGAACAGACAACACCAAAGACATTGCTCAGAGATTTCTATTTGTTTGTCTCCACACACACTCAAAAATAAACATATTCTCCACATCACTGAAACACAACCAGGATTAGAAATCAGAAAGGCTACTCCCTAACCCAGTGATGCCTAACCTTTCCCACTCGTGGGCCAGATGAATGGTGCCAGGTCCATCTGCAGGCCAGATTGGCTGTGGGCCCAATCTAGTGCACAGTGCTAGCCCAGCCAGGGCCAATGCAGCCATGTGGGGCTGTAGCCTAATGGCCTACTTGAGGCCAATGCAGGAATGGCCTACTTGGGGCCAATGCAGCTGCACAGGAACAGTCCAGCCTGGCCGTACCACATGGCTGCACTGTGTCCCTATCCCAACTGCGCCCTGCATAGCTGTATCAGGCCCTGGTCAGGCTGCTGCCTTGAGGCTATATTGAGCTGCAGCCCCTTGTGGCTGCACCAGGTCCTGGCCAGGCCACTTCTATGTGACTGCATCAGGCTCTGGCTCAATCCAGCCAGGCAGGAACAGGGCCTGGCTCCCCCTCCCCACCACACAGGGCGAGCAGGGGCCTGATGCAGCTGTAGGGGGTCTGGCATTCTGGGGGAAAGGGATCAGTGGCAGTGTTAATTGTCACTGCTCCCCCAGCCCACAGTTTCCAGATACATGGGGAGACATGTGGACAGGACTCAGCAGGCCAGATCTAGCTAGTGGGCTTGGGGGTGTAGCACCCCTGCTCTAACAGAGGAATCAGTAATATCTGTAATTAAACCCAGTGTTATCCACTGCAGTCCTGACTACTATAAGGAGAAATGTTCTTGCAAAATGCCTAGATTTTCAGTAGTGACTGTGACATTATGTGCTTCAGTTTTTGGGTGTCCAATCAGAGACCTTAAAGCAGCATAGATTTTAGGAAAGCTGAGCAGCAAGCCTCTGAAATCACATCTGCAATCAGAAGGGTGTACAGATTGATTAGTCACTTTTGAAATCTTTGTCTTTAGTGACAGTTGAGAGCTGTAGTGTGTTAAATAATCACTTTGAAGGGTAGGCCGGGCGATATGCTGGATTCTGGATCCTCAGGGTGCCAGTAGCCCTGGGAACCCCCCCAGGCAGGTCTGCTGACTGAGGTGTCCCTTGGAGAGGCGTGTCCTTACTGCCCAAGAATTTACTTTAAGTCCAATAAACAAATGGGTGTATTTTTTATACACAACCATATACAGAAATGATTAAATCAAGAGAAGAAGAATACATATCTATATCTATAGTTAATAATAAAACAAACAATTTGACTAGAATGTACAATTGAAACAACAGATGAATAATTCCACCACGCTGGGCGGTCCCACTTGCATCAAACAACCTCAATGATTACATTTATCTGGTTATAACACTTTAAAACAGTTTCCCCCCCAATAGCCCATGCTGATTTCCCTTTGGTCACACTCCTCTTTCCATAACAATAAATGGCAATACAGCTTTAACTATGATCCACCACTAGGTGGCAGAGGCAAGGGTTCTGCTGCTCCAGGGAAGGTGGACTCTTCACTCTTTCTTGGTAACTCAGCAAAAAACCAAGTCTCTGATCAGCCACTGCAGGTAATAGGCTT